CCATTTTTCGGCGAAGGTGTTTCGATTTTTTTCGATTTTTTATTTAGACGGCACATGCATGAAGTTCACACTGTTCCTCCGCTTAGTTGATAATAACATGGAAGGAAAGAGGAAACAGCCGGCTATCACGACCTTCTTTGTGAAGAAGCCCCGTCAAGAGCCCGAAGACTTTGACAAGGCCCGCAGTATTGAATCAGATCCTGGGCCACGACCCCAACCTGTAACGCTGCGCGAAAAACAAGAGCAATCAGCGTTGGAATGGTGTTCGCTCAACAAAATTCCTGATAGAGCCGAAGAATGTTCCGCTGGAGACTTTGTTAGGCGGGATCCTGCTCACAGACCACCAAATTTATTTTTCGTTTTTTTTTTAAGCACTGATTGCCGATCCTACAATCCTACGTTCGCCTCGGTCCTTACCAACCGCAACTCAAGCAATATCCGGCCCGTGACATCGGTGGATGCATGCGTGCTTTTCGGGCCCAGTGGTTTGAAAACAAATCATGGCTCGAATACTCTCCTTCGACGGACGCGGTGTATTGCTTACGCTGCTACCTCAGCCGAGAAGTAATGACGCAGCAAAGCGAGCTCACAGTGTATGCACAACCTACAACGCGTTGGTTTGGAGTCCAAACCAACACTATTCGTAGGTCCAGTCCTCGCCGACGAGGCGCAGGCATGAAAGCGAGCGTCCCGGGAGGGAACTCAGTGCAAGGGCCGCCTCAACGCCAGGAGGTTTGGCCCCAGAGCGTCACTCCCTTGCCGCGAGGCCCGCACCGTCTTCCAGTGCAGGCTTCCTTGTTTCCTTGTCGTGGCCGCCGCGCTCGCGCCCGCCTCTTCACTTGCGCGGTGTAGATACATCCTTCTGTCCACCCTCGCTCGCTTTGCGGGGAGTTCGCAGAGGGGGAGGATCCCTTCACGGCTTGAGTCTCCTTCGCGTAGGATTCGACGGCTGGGCATACGCGGTCGATCATGCACGCTGGGAGAGCTCCTGGGGCGCGGGTGGTCATCCGGGGGGCTTCTTGGTGCCCTCGCCGCTCCACTTCTTCCGTTCCCCCCAGCCACCCCCCTCGAGGGACCCATTGCCTCGTTAAGGGTCCGGAAGCCAGTGCGATCTCGAAGTCTTGTCTCTTGGTCACTTGTCCCAAACTTGGCAAATTGCGAACTGAAAAAAAATGTATAAAAGACTAGATGATAATGTTTTCCCGCTACCGCGGCTCTACCTTCGGTTCAGACGTCGTGCTGTTGAAGCACGACGCGGGCACGTGACGTGCTGCAGGGGCTGCAGGCGCCAATCCGTTCGCCACCATGACCCACGGAGGTGGCAACCCCTAGACCAATGAACTGAGCAGACCTCAAGCGGCGGCGTGTCCACATGTGCATGACCCATGCGCGCTGGCTGACAAGCATGATGCCGAGCTCGTGATGGCATGGACAAGGACTACGCCGGTCACGGCCTCAAGCATGTCATCACAGTAGACTACCCGCATAAGCACTTCCCCACCGTGAATGAATACCTGCTCAACAGGCCGAAGCACAATCGACGCTTCGACACGCAGCCGTTCGCAACCGTCTTCTTGCTTACTGACCCCATATACTGGGACGCAGAGCTGCCCATCGTCATGGGCATCTTGTGCTCGCCCTCGGGGCTGCTGTTCGTGTACACGATAAAGAGTGACGACAATAGTGAGCGTGAGAACATCCCGTTGTACTCCGCGTAATTAGGCTTCAAGTGAATCCGCAAGTCCCGCTTGCCTTGCTACGCTACGGATCGTACCTCGCCGATGGCCACTCACAAAGAAAATCGTACTAACTAGTAACTCCGTAGTCTGGAGTGTCGATGCAAATAACAGCGGTAGGTATATTTTATTGTGGTTGGGCGTAAAATGCCACACAGCAGTCGTATTGTACTATTGCTATTAAATAGTTTCGTAAATTCAGTGACCAACTCTTGTATTGGGTTTCTGCGTTTTGTTGACGATGCTGTGCGGAATCGCGCTGATCGATGCTGAAGCTGATCGACTCGATCGAGCTCTACCTGTGGATCTGCAAACTGGCTACGTGGTGTTCTAAAAACATGTATAATATTCCTATGCAAAAAGTATCGCTGTCTGCACAGTATAGATCTGTAAGTCTTAGTTATGCGAGCACCATCACATTTGGGCCACGGGCATACTTGCCGTTAGACAAGCAATAATTTGCAATCGAGAAACTCTTGGGAGGCTTGGTAGAGAGAGAATAAAAATACGTCCCGAAGCTTTAAGCACGCACTATTATAGTGGAGAAGATGTGTCGCTACTGATGATATTAATTAAGGTGGTGTAGTCCATGTTTCTAGAGTTCCGTTGAGGACACATGAATTGCCTACCGCGCCCTAAATAAATGTATCATGCGACCGAAATGATTATCGTCCTAGAATCTATCCGAAGCAACGGAAACAAAAAGTGTTGTTGCAATCTGTCACAGAGCATTCCGGCACGCTGCAAAATAAAAGCGCAGTGATAAACAATCTGATAAGTGTCTTCATGTTGTCCTACTTATTGAAATGTCTTTAGTCTGTGTGGCCGTACTTGTACACATCCGTACTGGACAGCTAAACTAAGAAGGGCACATCAGTCGACAACCAGCTTACTAGTGAAAAACCATCCTAAGCCTTTTACTGAAACTTGTTCGCATGAGCAGACCTCTACTAATGCGGGAAAAAAATCATCTTTCCCTCTTTTTCAGCAAATATGATATTTTTGAAGTGCAAAATATGGGTGGTAAAGTGGACTTCTATTTGAGCTTAATTCACTGACCTATAGAAGCTTGATACTCCGGAGTATGTAGTGAGACGTGTCTGTATGTCGACCGTCTTTGAGTACTTTTGTTGCTGTTGCATCTGGGGTGTGGAATCTGCAACCGTTTTTCTTGTCATGTAGTTGGGGATCAAAGCTCCTCCGGTGCTGTGAGTATCGTAGATGATCGTAGTTCTTGTTTTTGCCATCAACTTAGATGCTCGGAGCGCAGTTCCAGCAGGTGTACCCCACTGTACTGAGAAAAGAGCGCCCAAGTCCTTGGCGAGTGCGGCTGCTGGACCCGTTTCTTGATTGTTGGTCTTGAGTTGTTGGAGCTGCACTTGTAGTTTCTTGTCGAGGCTATCGATGCTGAGATACGTTGAGCCCGGGGTTGTTGTCGCACTGAGCTCTGTCAACCCTTGGTTCAGTGTTCGTGCTGCGGCTTCCGTCGGAGTATTTGTTGGCCCCATGTAGAGACTCTTTTGAAGTGCAAAATATGGATGGGATTCACTATTTAGTAAGTTATTGCTTGAAGTATATGAAGCTAAAGCGAAGCCATACTGCTACTGCACGCCGTATGGATCGAATTGTTAACCACTTAATTGGTTTATGAAGCATTATTTCAGGTTTCACAGCGTTATCGGAGGTCCCATTTGTGAGAAATCGGCCCCAGCAATTGGATCATTAGTCAAAATTACGAAAACTATACATGTAGCAACCACGCAACATCGCTAATGAAGGTGATATCGGGGAAGCTTAACGAATACTCTGTAATGCTTTAGTTCTATTAGACTTTGAGTTATGGAGCGACAAGGAGGCTGGCGGCAATCATTCTTGCTGAGTTTCACAATTATTGCAGTTTGTGCCAGTAGTATTCGTGACTTACTATCTACAGCGTTATACTGGGAACACCCGAAGAATGAGGGTGTGGACAGCTCCCAACGGATTAATTGGACGCGTAAGCGTAACCTGGCGCAACCTTCGTGCTACACGAGCCAGAAGGATGTCGACCGAGCAGGTTCAACGGCAACTTTCAGCAAGGCAGGAAATGCACATCGACATCAACAGCCCATGCACCAGCTTCAGAAAGTGAACTGCGGCACGCCCACAGTTCTCCCTTATCACGGCAATCAGCACCGGTACCAGCACCAGCATTTTATACCCCAGGTATTCCCAGCCAAGTCGAAGACAATCTAGTTTCACGTTAAACACAGATTGTCGTTGACAACCCGGAATCGTGGTGTGCGGAAACTCACAAAATCATCTTCTGGTACGGGATTCGCTAGAGGAATGAGAAGTTACCGGCTTAAAGTGCTGATACATGTATTTTTGATGTATATTGCGTTGTTAGTGGTGTGGTCGACTTGAGCTGAATAGTATCACTTCATGTAGAAGAAATCCTTATGTCCGAGAGAGAGACAGAAAGAGAGAGAGAGAGAGAGAGAGAGAGAGAGAGAGAGAGAGAGCTGCAAACTCGAAAAGGAAGCCACGGTAAGGTCATACTGATATCAACCCTGACTCAAACCTGATGGTAAAAAAATGCTCTGCCGAGATCTTATATGAAAGTGAAGGAGAGGGATAATCTCCAGCAGAGAGATAAAGTATACTGCCTACGTTCTCACCACTTTCCGTGTTATTTTGTATGTCATTCCTATGAAGCCAGCAACTTTTAAATGAGGGGCATCTGGTTAGTGCTGTGTAGTGTATCCCGGGTGAAAGACCAAAGTTGAACACCGGCGATGCGGGGGCTGATCCCGCACGGAATAGTAGCCGAATGTATTGATCTAACCAAACAACCACTTGCGTAGTTGCTTAGCAAATTGTGAAGTGAGGTCGAGTGGCGGATGCCGACTCTCTCTCAAATGCAGAGGGCATCTCTTGCTGGCGTGTCCAGCTGAGAGGCAGTCAGCTTGAAGTGGCTTCAAGCTGAGAGACGGACTGAAGTGGTCAGTTCCCAGGAACTGCTCCGATCCACAACTGTCGAGCCTAAGAGAACATGTAGCCTCGTACACTAATTCCTTATGCAAGCTGGGTCAGGCCTGACCAGCGATATAACAGATAGCCGACGTCTGGCAGCGTTGGACATCTTGGTCACCTGTGATCTTCCTCTGGCGTGTACGACGAACACTCCTGGTGGAATCAAGCTTGTCGCGCCTGCATCCACTACATGCTGGCAGCACACGGATAATATTTGTTTCTCAGCGCTTTAGCAACACTTGCATTAGCAATCATTTCGTGGTCAGTTGATATCCCCGAGTTGACGTGTATTGTGTCTTTCAGTCTTTTGTGCCGCTTTTTGTTGAGGATTGAGGCTCTGTACTTGCAAGAGGTCGGAATAGCAGAAGATTAGATAGCAAAGGACCGCAAAACCGACCTAGCACTTGATGCAGCTTGCTATACAAAGCAGCTACCTTCAAAGTACACAACAGTTACAGATAAAACAAATCGAAGAGACTTGTTAAATTAGTCCACGGTGCAACGAAGTGAACATTTGGATAATTAATTTTCCGAATGAAGGAAGGCACGACGAAACCCGACACTCCATCAGCCGACAAGAACCGCTGTCAGATAAGACAGTCAAGCACCGTGAACAACAAATCCGCTCATTCCGCGTTCTGCGCCGCCGAGCACAAGCACAGCGCCCGACACGAGCAGACCTCCAGTCGCACACACGACCAGCGTCACGACACCAGCTCGACAGACAGAATTTTCTAGCAACTAATCTATTCTAAGTACCCCTTAAGGCTACACAAAAACTTACACGTTGCAGCGTGCTTTATTTACTGCAGTCGGACCAACGATTATCCCCTACGACGGCCGTGACGACAGGGCGAGCTCTGCTTCAGATACCTTTCACCCGACGCCTCCGAGTAAACCCACCTTTCGAACCATGAGACCACGACTACCTGATCAAGCGCGGAATCTCAGCTACGAATGTCGTCGAGAAGGACAGTTTGAAGAACTCTTCCACGAGCCCGGCCTTCATCAATAGCACTGCGACCGCACCACAAGCGACGATCTGCACACGCATCCTGGCTGGACGTTCCGGGGATGCCTGTTACGACGACAAGAATGATAACCATGTCCAGCCCTACAGTGGGCACAACGAACGCCTACAATTGCTATCTCGATCGCGGTTACACACACGGTGCATGATGCGCCCCAGCTATCTCGACGACTACGACAACGCCTGGGCCTCCCACACGCGTATGCTGGTGTCCCGACGACGAAGCTTTCGAGTATCCCTGGTGTGACGACAAGAAACTGTGCTATCAGTTGCCGGTCAAGCTTCGTTCCCAACCACTATTCAAGACGACGCTGACTAATCCAATATCAAGACGCACGACCAAGTTATCGCTTGCTGCACAAGCACCGCAGCGGGCTCCAGCACGAGCAACTGTCTCCTTACAACAATCGATACACCCGGCATCTACAACGACGATGCGGCAACTCCAGCGGAACTGCTGTAGCAGTGGACTCAAAAATTCCGCTAGACCCCTTTCGGCAACAACACGCACTACTATCCACGTAAAACATTGCATGGGGAGCTACCGACTACGAGTCCACGAATGTTTCCCATCCGACAACATTCAGCGGCCACCGGCCAGGAGCTAGGAGTTCCACGACGAGCAGCAGACCCTACGCGCTCCACAACACCTCCGCGACCATGACTATTTCGACAACGACAAGCAGTAAACACAATACTACAGTACTCAAGACAGCAACGGCTCAGGTATTTCGGCTCAAACTTACTGCTGTGGCTTTTACAACTACGAACGCGCCACCACTGCCCCCGATCCGCTAGCAGTACGCACTCGATAATCGGCAAGGGCAGCCATTACGACAACAAATGCAAGCTGTAAGTTTGCCTTCAGTACCTACAACATCGGCAGCGGGCTGGCCGCGCAGCTCTGTTTGCTTTTACTACGACTACGACTACGACTACGATATCAGCTGCCAGCGGGGCAGTTCCGATCTCTTCTGACGACTACGACAGCGAATCCGGCACAATGCCATTAGCGCGGGCTGTTTGCATTGCTTGTTCACTATCGACGGCCACTCGGTCTCGCTCGACTTCGATGACTGCGACTGCAAGAGCGGGCTTTACGTGCAGTTCCGTTCGCTTTCGGTGACTTCGACTACGACTCCGGCAGCAAGCTGCACGTGCAGTTTCACCCGTCTATTACGACTAACTACGACATCAGCCGCGGGCTCTACGTGCGGCACCGTTCACTTTCACCAACTGCAACTCGGTATTGATCGACTCTCACGACAACGATTACGACGTCGGCAGCGGGCTGGACACGCAGTCCCGCTTGCTATCGAAGGCTACGACTACGAGTTGAGCATCGGGCTGTTCGTGCCGCTCCGTTTGCCTTCGACACTCTAAGAGTTAATGTTGCCCGGCTACTGTGACTACAACCACTACATCATCAGTGTGCAGCTCCGTTCTCATTTGACGACTACGATCTCGGTGTTTTCAGTCTCATCCAACTACAAATCAACCGGCGGGCTACCCCCGTTCGCGACCACGACTCCGAATCTGGCGACGAGCTGCACGTGGAGTCGCACCCGTTTAACTACGACTACGACTACGACCACGACTACGACATTTGCGGCGGGCTGTACGTGCAGCCGAGTTTGATTCAACACCTGCGAATTCGATCTCTCTCGACTTGTACAACTACGACTTGAACCGCGGGTGGCTCGTGCGTGGCGTTCGCTGTCGGCGGCTACCAACTCATTATCGCCCATATGCTACGACTGCGACAGGGGCAGCGAGCCGTACACGCGGCTCTATTCGCTTCGACGCATACACCTCAATGTCCTCCGTCTACTTCATTTACGACTTCGGGAGCGGACTCTGCGTGCAGTTTCTGTTATTTCGATGGCTACGAACGAAACCTGTTCTCGTCCGAATACTACGACCGCACTTCCGGCTACGAGCTGTACGCGTTATCTCGACTACGACGACCAATCCGGCTGCAAGCTGCACATGCAGCTTCGTCCGTCTATTGCGACTACGACTACAACATCAGCAGCGGGCTGTACGTGCAGGTTTGCGCGCCCTCAACAACTACAAATTCGGTCGTGTCGACTTCCACGGCTACATCATTGGCAGCCTCTGCGAATCTCTGTTGGCGTCCACGACCACGACATGATCCGTGAGCTGTACTCGCAGCCCCGTTACCGCATATAACCTCGGTGCCGTCTACTCACTACAATAACGATTTCGACTGCGGACTTACGACCAAGGCGTTTGCTTTCGACCGCTACGACGACCAACTTGACAGCGAGCTGCACGCGCAGACGCGCCCGCCTACGTCGACTACGACATCAGCAGAGGACTGCACATGAAGTCTCGCTCCCATCAACGAATACGACTACGAATCTGACGGCAAGCTGCACGTGCAGGCTCGCCCGTCTACTACGACATCGCCATGGGCAGCAGGCTGTACGTGCAGACCTGCTCGCATCAACGAATACGAATCCGGCGGCGAGCTGCACGTGCAGTCTCGTCCGTCGACTACGACTTCGACTTCAGCGGCGGGCTGTATATGCAGTCCCGTTCGCCCTCGACGACGACGACAACGAGTCGGACGGCCAGCTGCACGTGCAGCTCGCCTCTTGACCTCCACTACGACTACGACTACGACTACGACTACGACTACGACTACGACTACGACTACAACTACAACTACAACTATGACAACAACTACGGCATCAGTGGTGGGCTGTACGTGCAGCTCCGTTTACCTTCAACGACAAGCTCTACCTCAGCACCTACGACATGAGGGGCGGGTACGCATGCAGCCCGCCCGCCATCGACGCCTACGACGAGCTGTACGCGCAGCTCCGTTCGCCTCCGACTACTACGAGTTTATCGGCCGGATATTTAAACAGCCCTGTTAGCTCCAAACGACCTCGACTCCGGGATCAGCAACCACGACAAGTTGCTGGACCGATGGCAACCTCGACTACCGGTACAAATAGCGACAGCTACTACACCCGGGATCGTCACGAGCAGCGCGCTTGTCAACTTGTTCACGTCTCGCCTCCCAAACACTCTTCAGGGGGCTTTTGGCTCGCTCAACATGCTCAACTTGCCAATGCGCACGTCACCACGGCACATTTAAAAGACATCTACCGATTGGGGCAGCTTTCCGCGCGCGGCGCCAGCGACGGCTACGACATCGAACTACGACTTCGATAGCGACTGCAGATACGACAACATCACGTCCATATCGATGGCCAGGACAACGACAATGAAAAAGACAACCGGAGTGGAAGCATGACTGCGACCATGGCTACAGCTTCGACGGCGATCACGATGACGATTACGCTATTACAACGACCAGGACTACGGCTACTTAACCAACCACGACTATCGGTACAACGAAAACGACGCCTACGACAAGCTACGACTACAGCTACAGCAACGACTCTGGCTACGACAACCCGAGCGCATACGATTTCGAGCACAAGTACGACTACGGCTCCAGTCACGAGCACGATTTCTTCGGCACTCTACAGCTTCGGCGCTCGACGACGACAATAGCCTTGGGGGGTCTCGCCATTCAACGTGTTAGTGGGCCAATATTGGGGGCTGCCATTCGCCATCTTGCCTATCAACCAAAGCACCTCTGGCTTTGGCCCATTAACACAATGAAAACACCTTTACCCCCCAATTGCCTGGATGCACCGAGGAAAATCAACACTGGTGGATAGCTCCAAGAAAGCACTTTAATCGATGTTCCTGCTTTGAGAACCTTCAAAATGTCTCCCATATTCTGTCAGTGATCGCCAGAATATAGGAAAAATTCGGAAATTCCCGTATTGGTAGAGGTCAGCGCATGAGGCATGCGTGTGCAGTGTTGATACACAACCTCGATACACTCGCTTACAGATCAACTAAAATGAAGTTTGACGACGAATTAAATGATTTCTCGTCATATCAGGCTGTTAGAGCATCTCCACCTGAGTAAAACTAAAAGCAAATTGCCTTCAGATCCGTGCCTACAACGGCACAACCGTGCTAAAGACAGTGCGCAGCTCCACCGGTCATTGAGACTCGCAGAGCTCTTAGCACGGCGCCAGCAATGGCGACGGCGAGTCCTACCTGTATAGCGCTATAAAGATGAAAACGGGCCCGACAACACGTTGAGGAAGACCCAAGGATGACGTGGCATGGGCGACACTGCGGTCTGTGACGCTTGCGCTGCTTAGAGCGCTCGACTTGGCCCTGGTCGACATTTACTCGACCTTTTACTCAAAGCCTCCTCCGTTGTCAAACTTGTTCAATATTTTGATCAGCGTAAAAAATGGAGCAATTTGCTCAGCATTTACTCAAACCGGTGGAGCTGTACAAAACTAAAACTATAGCTAAATATTGACAGAAAGGGTAAAATTTAGTTTTACTCACACCCGGTGGAGATGCTCTTAAGCTTTCTTGTATGAAAAGGTTTCGATCGGCTCGGGGGGGGGGGGCATCGCGAAATTTTGTGTAGAGCACAATATTTAGTGTCGCCCCAAATTAGCAGCGAGGAAGCGCAGTGAACGAGGTGCTCAGCTAGTAGTAAGTAGTAGTAATTCGCCGCCAATGGATGTAATCTTTCTTTTTTGCGTTAACGTTTATTTTTGTGTGAGGTTAGTCGTTGGTTGTGGTGTTAGAGCACTCTTCTAACCGCATGTTTTACGGCGAAATAAGCGCTGGACACAGTATATAGCCACCTTTGATTCGCATTGGGCAGGTTGAAGACGACTACTAGATCGCTGGCGCTTAAACCGGGAGGGCATTTCTCACGTGAAAACATGAAGTGGCCATATATATATAATGCTTGATCGCTGTGGCTCAAAGGCTGTTCAGCTGTTGTCTGAAAAATCAAGTAGGACTCATCTTCATCTTCCGATGGAATGGTCGATTGAACTATAGATAAAACTTTGGCAACGTTTTACCTAGGGACTGCACAGTACGTGTATATACATGTATACAAAGAAGCAATCTATGACTCAAGGTCAACGCTTTTCAAAGCTCATGCAAGTTTGTGAAACGCGCGACAAGGAATTCATGGCTCGCTGCTTGTATCACGGTTTTGATAAGTATATCAAGCACCTGCATAATATGTACATATTATTCTGGAATAGCAGTAACCCCCGGAGGGAGTGCTGTGGCCAGCCCAACACAGGTTAATTCGGCGTCCGCCCGGTAACTGACTGTAAACTGAAGCCGGTAACTGAAGCCTGCGAACTGAAATAAACTGAATATCTGAGCTGATGCTATGGGATGACGCGTTCTCCATCCATCTCGAATCTTGCCAAACGGAACAACTATAATTGTCGTACATGTGCTAAAATGTGCATTGAGTTGGTGTGTGTAGCGCTCGTGGCAGCGAGACTATCCCCACTGCGGAGGCGCCCTGCGTCATGGTGCTGCGGCCCCGTATGTGATTGATAGTTTTAGTGCTCCTGTTTAGGCTGCCTCCGGCGGGTATCACATAGAAGGGTTACCGGGCAGATGCTGCGGCTGCGAAGCAGGCGCAGTAGATGCCCGTTGTTAGAATTAACTAGTTGACTCGAATTGTTAATATGTGCTAGATCAAAATTTGTGCTGCGAAACCGCTATCATGGCTCGAAGGTAAAACCAACTGATAGTGGCAACAAATACGCGTCGTTGTGCCCAAGTTTATCAATTAAAAAAATATTTGCATGTACAACCTCTTTGCCGTCTCTATGATGATGATCGATGATATGGAGCTGATGCAGCCAGACAACGAGTACGAGGGATTGCCCACCCAAACAAAACTCCGTAATGACTGTGTCGTTTTTTCCACTATAATGCGCCAAAACGTTTCATCATTTCCGGTAACTTGTCCTACGGACGACTAATTCAAAACGAGTGTGGAGGACACTTTAGTTTTTTTAATGCACTGTACGGCAGTCCAGAGTTCGCTTCACTCAATGTTCCTTAGCTATTCCAGCCTACTCAAAGCTCTCGTGTGTAGCCTAGAAATGACAGTTGAGCTGGTGGTGATTTTAATAGCCTTCTGATGCGGGCCCCAAGGCTATGATGATGGTGGGGTACGTGTTATGCAAATGCTCAAACTCGTCGAAGTCTATCTTGTAAGGAGCGTTTCGTAGCATAATTGAAGACAGTGATGGCCAATATTGCGCACGCGCTCGTAAGGTGCTGTAGAGTCACCCTTCATCCTTACCTCGGCCGTCAATATTGCCAGCAAATATGAATTCCACAAACCGGTTGGTTCATGTTGATTAAGCAACTGCAGAAGTCCTATCGTGGTGAGTCAATCGCCCCTGTATCCTCGACGACGTCGTCGTCGTCGAGTGTGCGGCTGACTGCTCAGGCTCTCCCCTCTCGTACCACGAACTCCGTGCTGTCCAAGCCGCTGGCTAAGACCCGCAGCATGAAGCGAAACCGCAACGAAGCGTCCTTCCTCCATGCATCACGGCACGGCAGGCAGTGAGTTGGGCGAAGGTTGCCTAAGGTTTCATGGGATAGTACAGCGAATGTTACCTGTAACTCAGTCGACATTTTTTGAACGAAATAAAGCTGGTGGGGCCCTACAGGCTACTACGTAGCCCTCCCGGTAAAATAACATTTAGAACAGTGTTTAGAACGAATAAATTTGATAAATGTCGGACGTTTTGAACAGCTCAGATAAATATATCTGGAACGAAATCAGGATCAGTAGATAAGTTTTGGTACGCTGATACAACTTGTTTTCGTTCCTAAACTATACATTACTTGTGGGTTGCGCTCGAACAAGGTAACATCTTGTGTGTTTGTATATTCCTTAGCTGATTATGTGTACTGTAGACACCTATTATTTTTTGTTCACACTTGGCCAAAGCTAGCTTTCCAGTCGAGAGGATCGGTTGGCAACATGATATTGTCAATTCCGTTGAAAATTTCCAAATCGGGCCGATTTCGAAAATCGACCAATACAAATTCAAGTACAGATCGAAACCGCTCCAAACAAGAATGCCATATGTAAATCGTACTTAATCAAGTTCCAATAGACAATCCAAGTGGCCGGGGCGATTGGGGAGCGATTTGGCTCGGGCGATTGCAATCGGCCGGTTCGGAAATTTTGAGTAGAACCCACAATATAACGGATTTTACCGAATACAAGCCCTGTATTTATTAAAAGCCCGGTCGTGAAAATGACTTTGCAGTCAAGAAATAGAAGCCCTGTATCAAATAGAAGCCCGGATTATTAAATAATTTAATACAAACCCGGGCTACTAAATAGAAAAACGCTAACAAAAACTTACGAAGGAAATACCTCTTGTTCTAAGAATATGTGAAAATACTCGCGAAGTTCATAAAGATAGTCCCTTGAGAACAACAAAAAAAGATTTTGCTCAACGCTCGTAAGTAAAACAATATTCCCCAATTGCAACGGTTTTATTTTCTTATCTCCATTCACCATGTAGCCACCACTCAAGCTACTGGATTGAGCAAAAATGCGACTAAAACAAATTCAACGGACTCATGTGGGTTGTTTACCTTGGCGACCTAGCAGCTATTTATGCTTACCAACACATAAATTAGATTCCATGATTTAGAGTCAAGAATCGCAAAGGTTGGATAGTTAGTATTTCTTTCAACCTTTGTTTTTACGGATATTGGGATTTACCTAGTCCTGACAATCAGACTAATACTAGCAAAACAATGTTTATTTTAGTGGTAGAGGAGAGGAACAATTACTTGCACCGTTCTACTAAACTAAAACCAGCCACAAAAGACACTCCGTTTAATCTATTGATGAATTTAACTGCCGCCTGTATTATTAATAAAACAAGCGTGCCAAATACCTTTGCACACCTATGATATCGTTTATCGGTTAGTCCGTTCTGCATTCCATAAAATAGAAGCCCTTACCTAAATAGAAACCCCCTCATTAAAGCCGATCAATTTTTCGGGGGCTCTAATAAATAGTAGTCCGGGTATTATTCGGTAAAATCCGTTAAAATGGGGGCATGAACGCCTCGAAAGAGCTTTGCGCGGTATCCAACGCCTCGAAAATTGGCTGAGGTGCGACGGATAGGTCGTCCTTCATACTGCTGGAAGTAAGAACTTGTCGATCTTGCTCAGCTGTCGACTGCTTAGACGCTTGCCTGTTTGGATTGGCAGTTTTCTCAACTGACTCCTCTCCACTGGGGGGTTGAGGTGACATAGTGCGGTTCCGCAAGTCTTGAATAGCGTCGAGCAACGCAGCACCCCAGCGCTCCTCCATGTCGATTCTAGAGCAATCCGCAACACGCTTCGCCTTGAGCTCTCTATACGCACGATCGCATACATCAAGAGCTAGACTGGAGAACTCGTGCTTTCGGAGCACTTGTGCGAACGCCTCTGACCTCAGAGAAACAGGTCGCAGGCCCGCGCAGTAGTGACGGTATACGCACTGATAGTGCAGTCGAGCAGACCACGCTCCCCGAAGTAGCTGCCGTCACGAAGACCCACCGGCCGATCCAGCAGCGAGCTGCTTTGCATGTTCAAGAACCCTTTCGTGACAAAATACATGGCCCGAATGATTCTGCCCTCGGTGATGACGTCTTCGTTTCGTGAATAGGCCTCAAAGTGAAGATGTTCAGCTAAAGAGAGCGCAAAAGCCTCCACGTTCGCGTCCGCATCTCCGCAAATTGGGCCGATGACTTTCATGACGAACCAGTTAAGCGGAATTTTGACTGCGTGCAGCACACACGCCGACCGGATCTCACGCGGCATGTCGGCGAACAGCTCGTCGTAGTTCAGTCCAGCGTGCGAGGCCCAGAGCGTTGCCATGAAGGCGCAGGTTCGCGCTTTGAGTTTGTCGCTGACTCGCACACGCTCCAGATACATTTTAACTGTGATGTGGTTCTTGCGGAAGCCCACCTCCAGACTACTGCGCGAGATGAATAGACTCGCGAGCTCTCCAATAACGAACGACATCGTGAGCAGGCCGATGAAGGACATGGCGATCTGGAACGCGTACGCTGACGCCGAGTCCGGCGCAATGTTGCGCGCTTTCTTGACGAACGCCGTCGTCGCGAAGAAGAGTCCACGCAGCAAGCGCAACATCAGTTGCGCACTCGACGGATTCTGTGGGTCGGAGATCTCCAGCGCCTTAGACGGGAGCCACGACTCCCATTCCGATCCAAAGCCGATTTCCATAGCTACGGTCAGGTACGCGCACGCTGCCCAGTACACCACAAGCAGATACACAAGGGAGACCTGGCTGAACTTGGTAAGCTCGTTGGCGACTCTGCTGCGGCTTAGTTCGTCTAGATACCCCATGAGATTGAGCATCTTGAAGCAACGCAGCAACTTTAACCTTGAGCTACAGTTGAAGACTGTGAGGAAGCCGTAGAAGGGACTCGCAGCGATTACGTCGAACAGCATACGCTCCTTCTTGTACACATTCTGCTCGTAGAGCTCCATCGTCGTCTTGGATTCTTTCACGTGCCAACTGAACCACACATCCACCACGAACGCGGCTTCAGAGATGAGAGTGAGAACGTTTACGATTGTGGTGGTGACTGTCAGTCTGTCCATGGGGTCTATGGCGAGCTGATAAGGGGTGATAATGGCAATGTACACCGTACAGAATACCATTAACCGGAGCCAGAAAATGTGGAGCGGACTCTGCACCGGCACGCCGCGAGTCACACTGGACAGCTCCTTAGAGAGCGGCCTGATAATTATCTTCTTGAACTTATTAACAACCGCGAGGTGGTCGAGACTCGACTGCAAACTGTGAGCTCTTGTCCAGCGAACTTGAGCCATTTTCTCCTTCACCCGCTCAGCGCGCTCGTTCATCATGTCGGCCCGGGAAAGAACCAAACTCGTCGCTGTCGTCAGGCTACGCTGCTGCTCCTCCCGTGACTGGATTAAAAGCCGATGCTTCTCTCGTTAGATACTAGCGATACGCAGCACCTTCCACTTCCACTCGGGGTACCTGGCGAACACTAGCTCCATCGACTCGCGCGACAAATTGTACAAGATGCAAGAGGTCTGAGCCTGGACGTGCGCGTTGCGTGTTCCGTTAGTGAACAGCCCGTGGTCGCCAAAGAAGTCGCCGTCTTTGTGCTCGTTCACTTTGTGGTACCCCCCTTCAGATTTCTTTGGCAATTCGCCTCTCGTGATGTCATTCGCTGACGGACCAACTTGAACTGACGGGTGCGAGCCACGACGATGGACGCAAATGCGGCCGCTCCAATTCGCATTGGCGATCGGAGTGGCAGCATCGTTATTATTCTCTGAAGGAAGGAGGACGTCGACAACACCCGCAAAGATGAAGAACATGTCGCTGCCTCTCTCGCCGAATCGACAAACGAATTCCCCGCGCGAGATCAAAATCTGCGTGAATTGAGACACCAGCATGCGCGTGATAGACCCCTCCATTCCGCCCAGAAACTCCACTCGCTCTAGCATCGGCTTGAGGTGGATAAGGCGGATGTCTGTGAGCAGCGAAGGCTACAGATAGTGCACGAGGAGGTTCTCCTGAGTCACGGTATGGTAGCGTTTGAACAGTAAGAACGTCTCGACGCGCTGCTGGAGATTGGTGAACGCACTGAATGTGCATTGAGCTGTCGTCTTGGGGAACTCCGGCTCACTCGAGGCCGACATGAGCTCGAATGACCAATACAGCGAGGCCGTGTATTGAAGGACGAGGGATCCATTTCCCACGTGTGTAGAAGGCAGCCACAAGTTGTCACCAAATGGGCTCACCAGCAAAACGAGCCCACTATTTAGAACGATACAAATTTAGAAATGATGTTCCAAAAGTATGAGACACACAGTTGTGTACACATTATGTGAGGTACCGTTTTGCATGATAAGCCCACGATTGTCGCGTAAATCCAAATTCCAAGGTTTTTTTTCACTTGTGCTTTGTATACTTTTGAAAAACAAGCCCACTGCTGACTGAGCCAGTTTTGCGAACTTAAGCCCACACAATCCAATCTACCTACAAGCCCGCAGCCGCCGCAGCCCCAACGACATGAGCACCCCCTTCCAGTACCACATCGAGGACGAAGGTCTCTTCGCCCTTCCCCACGTCAGGGAAGTGACGTGCGACGAGGAGACCTGCGCCCTCTGGTGCATGGAGGTGGGCCTCATCGACAGGTCCAAGCTCGTGCGGAGCATGCCGAGCGGAAGGAGGTATCCCGCGGCATGCTCACCAGCTCGTTTCTAAACGAGTCCAAGCTGAAACTGCATCGCGCGGTGCGGCTCCTGCTGGCGTGGTGCATGCGGCTGTCCCAAGTGCAAGCCTCCGAGATGGCGGACGTGTGCGAGCGCACTGTGCGGGACTGGTACGAAAGGCGGAGTTCAAGGTACTGTTGAGTTGCGCTTTGTCACTTAATGTTGCGATAATGTTGCGCTAATGTTGCGGTTTGTTGCTCAACAGATTGGAGGCGAAGGACATATCGTCGAGATCGATGAGACCAGCCTCGCTAAGAAGCGTAAATACAACCGTGGTCGTTACTATCAAGAGTTCTGGCTATTTGGCGGCGTTGAGCGCTTAACTGGACGCTGGTTCGGGCGCGTCGTGTACGACAAGCGTACCAAGGAAACCCTGCTCCCCATCATCAAAAAAATTATCAAGCATCGGTAAGTTTTTTTTATTTCTATCCCGTGTTTACATGCAACTAACGTATTTTATACGATGTTAAATCCAGAACCAAGATCATGTCCGACATGTTTGCCACGTATGTCTGTGAACGTGGCAACAAGCAGCACACTCTAGAGAAAATCCGCCTACTGCTGAGTATGCCGTCGGCTCGGAGCTGGGAGTTGTTTGCTTTGACGCAAAGTTAAACCAAATACACCCGAGCAAGTGCGACAGCATGAAGGTATAGTACAGCAGCTTGAACAATCTGAGCTCAGTGGTGTGCTTGAGATATCGCTGCTCGAGTTCCAGTAGCTGCTTGGGCACCTTCAGCAACCGTACGAGTTTATTGACGTTGACGATGTTCAGCCGCTGGTGGGCCGGCATGCTCCAGTTCACGACGTACAGCGGTAAGAGCGCCCCGATATCAACCACGAAAGCGAAGGATCTGAAATACCGACGCTTGATGCGTTTGGTGTCCGTAATTTTATTCCCGAACTCGTAAACCCGATCACCAACGGGGCATTTTGCTGGCGCAGAAACTGCTGGATCCTTGAGCTAGTGGCGAGAAACTCCTTCTGCTCGTACGCAGAAGCGGTAAATCGTTTCTGGACATTATCCACGACGACAGCGGTGAACAGGAACCCGCTTAGCATCAGCACGAGAGCCGCTACCAACTGCACAGTGCCGTGGGGTTCGACACTTTTACCCGGAGATGCCAGCACTCCGACAGCATAGTAAAGAGAGCGCGAGTATCCCCACAACAGGGCCTCCGAAAATAGCATTGTCAATAACATTATTTCAGAAAATAACAATAAATTACGCATTTCGGCGGGTTCAGCCATCTACCGTGATAATTTATTGATGTGCTTTGTGATATTACATAATTTGTGACAGTTACCTTTATATAATAATGTTAGCGTTTTACCAGCCATCTTCTCGCTTCCAGTCGTTCAGAAGAACTGGAATCGCTGGTTGTCTGCGTTGCTAGTTGCAGCTCATTTGGCAGCGCTCACTTTTCAATTTTCACTTCTCAAGCCTCCAAGACCTCATCCAGCATGGTTCGCGCTATCCGCCCCCCTCGCCCTACCTACACGAACTCCCAAGTCTCGGGGTTTTACTTCCGCCCGTGTCGCGACGAGAACGACGAGGTGATTCTCGAGTATTTCCGTTGCCGTTGTGGCACGGTTCGGAAGCAAACCCATAGGAACGGGTACTCCAACCTGATGCAACATATCAGGCGGGAGCACCCTGACTACGAGACCGTCATGCTCGACGCTACGACGGCGGAGACAGGCTCCCTCGTGAACTTCGTCCGCCACTCGGCGCTCAACCTCCACGGCTGGATGGTTTGGATTGTCATGTGCAACCTGCCACTCTCTTTTTGTGAGAGCCGAGAAGCTCGGCGGTACGTGTATGCATAAGGTCATTGTGTTTACATTACTACGGAAACTAACAACTTTACTTTATGGATGTTATTCAGCTACTCCAGCCTGGACCCCATCTCGGAGGAAACGCTGCGGGCTGGCATGGACGGGGTCGTCGTCGCCGTCGAGCGTTCGATTCCGTCGGAGCTCCCAGCACGCTTCGGCATCATGCTCGACGGCTGGACACACGCATCTGAGCACTACATCGCCGTGTTCGCGTGCTATGAGGTGAACGGCTGTCCCAAGACAACGCTACTCAGCATGGCCCCGCTGCTGGACGCGCTGGACGACGATCTCTCCGCGCAGGGCCATCTCGAGTTTCTAGCGACCATGCTGCCGCGCGATTACGGCGTACAGCTGGCGCAGTGTCGCTTCCTCGTAGCTGACAACTGCGCCGTAAACCGGCGGCTGGCAACTCTTATGAGTGTGCCGCTTGTTGGTTGCGCAAGCCACCGCCTGAACCTTGCTGTTCAGGCGGACATGGTGTCGCATGAGGAGGACCTGGCTGCTGTGCAGGCGCTCATGGTAAAATTGCGTACTCTCACCCAATCTGCCAAACTACGGTAAGCGCCAATGTGTATGTGTGGTGTGTCAATATGTCTCTAACACAATTTGTGTACTTTTGTAATTTTTTTACAAAATAGGTTGAAAACGCCACTTCGGCCTGTCATTCGCCAGAACACGCGCTGGAGCTCTACGTTCGAGATGGTACGGCGCTACCTCCAGCTCCTCGAGTTTCTTGACGCCGAAGACGACGACCTCATGGACCTGCTGCCGCCGCCGGCGATGAACAAGCAACTGCGGGCATTGTACCAGGAGCTGTGCGACATCGAGTCGGTCTCGAAGGCCCTTCAAGGCCACGACGTCGACCTGCTGGACGTTCGCGAGTGGTTCGACGAGCTGATCGCTGTCAAGCCACAATATGGGCGCTACATTGGTAAGTTATATCTGTTGAATTTGTGTTTAATATTTTCACTAACAATTGTATAATGGTTTTTATTTTGCAGGGCCTCGGGCCAACATTGTGCACAACCCAGATTTTGAGGCTGGGTGTGTACGCGTTCTCCGCGGGAAGGCGCAGCGGCTGACGCGTGCTGAAAAGGCCGCTTTGCAGCCCTTCGAAGCTGCCAGACCGGACGACGCGGCCGCGAGTGAAGAGGAGGAGGATCCAGCCGCGTCGTTCGTGGAGCGTCTTCGGAAGCGCCGGCGGCTTGCACAGGACCGTGTCAAGTATGAGCAGCTGAAGAGCATCCCACCCACGTCGAACGTGGTGGAACGCTTCTTCATTGCTCGGGTGACGTTTGGTCATCAACGACACGGCCTGCTGCCACGCACGCTTGAGACGATTTTGTTTCTCCGCCAGAATCGGTCGTACTGGGATGCAACGACTGTGGACAATTTGAGCTAGATGATAAGCTAACTGGTGTCTTGTTAATAGATTTCATGCTTTGCATAATGGCATTATTTATTGTGGTACGTTGGGGGCAATGCCATAATGTACTGTTGTATTGGTAGGAGCGTCAGGGGATAATTTATTCAGCAACGCCCAACCTACTAAATAAAAATGCCATATTCGGAGGCCCTGCCCCACAATGTTATAGCATGCAACACTTCCTTCTCGTAAAATACGGTGCCATTGCAGCTTTCCAAGTGTGTGGCGTTCAGCCGGTGCAAGCACAAACTGATAGGCGAGATCCACACTTCTTGCACGTCTGGATTAAATCCTTCCAGGTACGAGATCCCAAAGTGAATGCAGGCGACGAGGTGGAACATTATGAATAAAGACGCTCCAAGTAGCAGCAGTTGTCTCCTGCTGTTGAACGGGATGAAGTGCGAGATTTCATATAAAAGGCTCTTCAAGTGGAAGACGGACAGCAATCGCGGGAGGCGCAGGAGTCCGTACTTTGCCATGCACGCGTACTCGAATGGTAGAGCGCAGAGCAGGTCGAAGATAAAGCTGCCGTTGAAATATCTCCGGGCGCTTTTCCTCGTATCCATTATTTTCTCCGAGTCCACCACGAATGATAAGTTTAAGTTCAATGCCACGTTGAGGAGGAAACCAACGTTTGAGATGCCGTCAAGCGCCTGAACAAGCCACGACGGTCGTTGCCACAATGGGAAGACGATCTGAACGGGGACCATCAGCCATGAGTACCCAATGTTCACCAGAGCCACCACATGCGAAGGACAGAGTGCTGGTCGATACACTGTGGAAGCAGCAGCAGCCGCCAAACGCGGTACTTCTCCAGTGTGAGCGATGGCGCTGAGTCTTGAGTGACATCATAGGGGTTGAGGGATTTCTTCCGCTTGTTTTGATCGACGCTGTCAGTTGTTCGCTGTTCTTGGCATTCTGGGCCAGACTTTCGAGTTTGTAGCCCCATTCGTTGGTCGCCATTATACGGTAGAACTTGTTGTGGTGCTGGGGTCACCACATTCTTTCTCCCCAGCCACGACAAGATTCGTCTCGGACCTGACGGCCGCCTTCCCTTTCTCGACTTTGTCATCGACCGCAGAAACGCATGGTGCTGGTACCACTTCAACATGGACGGCTTCAAGTTAAAAGCGCACGGTCAGCGTAGCTTCAAAATGCGAACCACATCTAGTTGGCGTCGTACAGTATTGTTATCTACCTACCGCTGCCAGTTTGTTTTTATCAATGCTGATGACACACTAGACTTTTCGTGGGGGGGGGGGGGGGCTCGAGTGGTTTGGTGGTTGGTTGGAACGCTGTGGAGGTGGCGGAATGGAAAGTAAGAGTCTTGTGTTGGTTCGATGGACGAAGTCATTACCACGCAATCGTCCCTCGGAAGGTTAACAGCCACCGCGCCAGCAGTCCGTACAGCTTTCAAGACCTGAAAACCATCAATAGAAATGCAGACGTCGAGAAAATGGTTAGAAAGATAGATCCTACATGTCGAGGTCAGTTTAGAAGTGTAAAAAGGCAATAAGAAGAAGCCCAAGCACTGGGGTTGTCAACTGGTCCGTACGCACATGATTCGGTTCACGCCGTTCAGCATCTGAAAAAAATCAAGTAGAAATGCAAAACTTCGTAGCTCTCATGAGCTTAGGTGCAAGTTAGCGAGCAAAGTGCCAATGAAGTTGAAAGGGAATTGCATCTCCTCCCCGTCGCTATATGTGTATAAGTAATTATTGGTCACCCTCGGCCTTAGGCCTTAAACGGGTGGTGACACTTATTTCGTTCGCCGCGTGTAAGTTGGTGCTCTTCGGACTCATAAGAAATGGCCTATTTTCAGTCTGACCTGCAGGGTCGACCTGGAAACCACCCAACTTCTCAATGAGAACCTGGAACTAGAGCGCTCTGCGGGTTCGCGATGTTCACGGCGCTCTGCACGACGATTTTTATCATCTCAAAGTGCGAGAGCGGCCAGACAGAAGCGATGGACGCATGCATCAACCAACTGATACACGTCTTGTCCTTCCACCGAGTCCCTAGGCCCAAGCTATCGAATACCTGAAGGTTTGTCAGGCTTATAATCATTCGACCTGCTAGTTTTTGACTCGACTCTTTGGTGTGCTTTTGTAGCGCTACTACACCGATTCGCAGTCGAACGACCGCGAAGCCTCCAGACTCTTGTGTCCGTCCATAGCCAGCGACATCCAAGTGGAGCTTCTGAGGCCGATGATCGCTCAAATGACTGTCTTCAGTGAGTGTAGCGACCAGTTCATCATCGCTGTCGCGGGGCTCTTAGAGATGATCGCGCTACCGTCCCAGACCACACTCTTCTCAGCGGGAGACTACGGCGACGCCCTTTATATTGTCCACTCGGGCGTGCTCGAGATCATCGTGGACTCCGTGACGGTGCGAGACATACGCAAGGGCTCGTGCTTCGGCGAGCTGTCGGTGTTTTCGTCCATGCCACGAACTGCCACGGTACGTACGTTATTCTGTACAAACTGTCCAGGTTTCACTGCGACCGGTTGCTCGAAGGGTCCCCGGCGTGTGCGTCTCTAATCGTCGAGCACGTTCAAAACGTCCTCGACCAGCTGGAAAAAGCTGAGGTTATGGACGAAAGTAAACCTCCAGCTTCTAGTACTGCTACGCCCAAACCTCTGTCGGACGTCTCGCCACGAGCACGTTGAAGCTGCGTTTGTAGCAGGAAGCTGAGCGAGTGATCAACCTCTGCGCTTCGGCCGTAGCAGCGCTTGGAAACGGACGTGCACTGAACGGCATCCAGCTCTTTGAGAGCTCGCAGCCAACAAATCCAAGTTGTTTCAACGACGCACTTCACCATGTCGAGTCTTGTTAACTGGTAAGAGCCACCCGCAGCATTCTGCCTGTGGAATGCGTCGAGGAGTTCCGTACAGTATCCGTTGCAGCTGAAACACAAGGTTGAAGATCACGTCCAGTCTGTAACCAAAATAAAAGCCCGCAAGTTGCGCCAATCATCGGCGCTCATTCCACCCTCTTGTAAAACCAGTCAAGAAAACGCCGTGTCGGGCGCAAGTCACAGGCGCGCGTCACCTGCCCCTAGACTAGCTTCTCCTCTGCTCCATGGCCTCGGGCGCTGCCGACACATTCCCCGCGCGCGGCGGTGGCGCGCTCTGGCCGGCGCTGAACGACGAGGAGATGGCGGCGGCCTCGTCCTCCTCCGCCTCCTCCTCCTCCTCTTCCACGGCCACCGCGACGCAGCCGCAGCGGTTGCTGCTGCCCAGCACGTCCCACGCGCAACTTAACGAGCTGTCGGCGTTCCTGGCGGCCTCTGCAGCAACTTCCGCCGCCGCTCCCGGTGCCGGAGCGCCGCAGACGTTCCTGGACGACCTGCTGCGCGACGACGGAGACGCCGCCGCGCACCAGCCGCCGCAGAGCTTCCAGCTGCACGAGGACGTGCCCGTGTCCAGCGCCATGTCGGACGTGGGCGTGCTGAGCGACGCGGCCTTCTTCTCGCTTGGCGAGGAGGCGCACAGGGCCACGACGGACTCGTCGTCTGCCGGCTCGCCGTCGACGGGCGCCAACACGAGCCGACTGCTGCAGCTGGAGACCAACTACGAGCGCAAGAAGAAGCGCGCCAAGATCAACCGCAAGGACCTCAACTCGAGGTTCCAGGAGCTCATGGACATTTTGCACTTGAAGGAGGACCGCAAGCTGAACCGGGCCAAGATCCTGGAGAAGACTATCGAACACATTGAGAAGCTCACGGCCGAGCTGAACGCGCTGAAGGGAGGACACCAGTCGCAGCCGCAGCAACAGACTCAGACGCAGACAGTGAGGAAGACGGCCATCGCGTTGCACCATCAGCAGCAGTTCCCCGGCATGCAGACGATGGCCCAAGCCATCGGACACCACAGCATTGCAAGCTCAGCTCATGGCAGTGCGACGGGTGGCGCGCCTCTGCTGCCGTATAACCCGTCGCCGTGGACTGCTGGGGCCAGCCTCCCTTTGCCCCCGATGATGTGGGTGCCGTGCCCCGTGGTGACGTCCTCTGGCATGATGCTGAAGCGCGCTGCTCCTGGCCGGCCAGCTGATGTGTCAAGCCGCAAGCGTGGACGAGTGGAAAGCATGGAAAGCACGGTTACTAGCTCGTCGGAGCTTGAGAGCGGGCCCGAAAGCCCTGAGGTCGTGACGGTCGTTGTGTCGTCTGCGGCTGATAAGGATTCGTCGGTTTTCGTGTGGGCTGCGCAGGAAATTCCGACGCTGCTGGCGTTCTGCGATGCGTGGACACTGGTCACAGTGATGCGTACTTCCCGCGAGCTGCGGAGTGCAGCTTGCAGTGAGAAGTTGTGGGGAGATCTGTGGCGTGAGCGGTGGCGGATTCCTCCGGAGATCAGCATTACCCAGCCTCGCCAGCAATGGCAGCAGTGGCATGAGAGCAACCGCATTCCGACGGACATCACGCAGATTACGGTACGACGCTGGTCTTGCTTGTTCGTCACACACTTGGTACCATCTAACGCTGTCTTCGTGTTTTTTTTTTCTCTCGATAGTCTGGAGGAGTGCTGTTTGCTTCAGGTCGTGCCAAGAATGTCAGTGCGTGGGGGCTGCTTTCTCATCGTTCCAACGGACATACGACAAGAACCGTCCTGCTGAATGGCAAGGCTACGGTTATGCAAGTTGTGAAGCTGTTCATCGTCGTGCAGAACCTGAGCCTTGCATGCGTCCGCGTTACGGACCGCATCTCTCTGACTTCGAAAGATGGAGCAGATAATGCATCGTTCGAGCCCTTCACTGCGGCGTCTGGCGCACACTTGACGCCCCAGATCGTGGCGTTCAACGCAGATCATTACGTGACGAAGGATCTGGCTTCAGTCGCGCTTCACCACGGCGATACCTGCGTGCTGAGCGTGTATATGGCGTGTCCGGGACTTGACCTGGAGGATCAGTTTCTGCAAAGGTACGGATACGATGCGTTCCTGTACTGCAAGATAATGAGTGGTGATATCTGATGGGTGCTTTTGTTGATGCAATAAGCAGGGCGGGCTCACTCAACATCACTTGCGAGATGGACGGCGAAACCAAGGAGCGCGTGGACGTTCGCGCTGCCTGCAAAGACCACAACGACTACGACCGAAGCCGAGAAAAGGCTTTGCTTGCTGTGCACCGCGGCACCATCTAACGACGAAGACCCTCCCAGTCCGGATAGATACAAGACAAGATGACGATTGAAGCGGTTGCTTCTCGTGCGAAGCAGTTCACCGCGGCGCAAGGCTCAGCTCCCGTACTCCACCTGCCAACTAGCGGCAGCAGGGCTACCGCGCGGCGTGATCGGCGCGACCAGCCCGTCACCCCGTGCATCACATCACTCGCCTCGCAAATCCGCAGCAGTCCCGTAGGTTGCAGCTACACTGTACATTGCACCTGTACCTGCAGCAGACCGGGTAAATGCACTGTGATTCAGAGCGCGATTAGTTCCCAGCTGACCCTTGCCCACCCCACCGAACCGTAAAGCACACAGACGCAAACAATACATTCGTCAACTCAGTAAAACCGTCCTCCATCGTCCTCCTCCACTTCAACTTCACCACAGGTTACAAGGTTACACTGAAAACGTAACCCACATATAACCCAATCGTAACGACCATCACTCGCATTCCTCCCCAGATATCCAAGAGACCAAGAGCTCGCCCACGCCACGTAGGGCAGACTGCAGCAGGTAGAGCGCCCTCCCTTCCTCGCTCCCAGTCGACAGCCATGGGCATCCCGCGCTTCTACCGCTACATGTCGGAGCGGTACCCGCTGCTGAACCAGCCCATCTCTGACGTGTCGCTGCTGCCCGAGTTCGACGCCTTCTACCTCGACATGAACGGCATCGTGCACAACTGCACGCACTCGGACGCGGCGGACGACGCGCTCAACTCGCTGTCGCTCGAGGCGCAGCTGCACGGCATCTTCACGTACCTGGACCGCCTCATCACGCACATCATCAAGCCCAAGCGCCTCGTGTACATCGCCATCGACGGCGTCGCGCCGCGCGCCAAGCTCAACCAGCAGCGCTCGCGCCGCTTCCGCGCGGGGATCGACCGCCAGCAGGCCATGGAGAAGGAGCAGTACATGCAGATCAAGCTCGAGGACGAGAAGAACGGCGTCAAGGCGCGCCCCGCAGCCGCCAAGTTCGACTCGAACTGCATCACGCCCGGTACCGAGTTTTTGAGCACCTTGTCGCAGCATTTGGTGTACTTTGTGCGTCAGAAGATGAAGAACGACCCGCTGTGGGCCAGACTCGAGGTGTTCTTCAGCGGCAGCGAGGTGCCCGGAGAGGGAGAACACAAGATCGTGGAGTTTATCCGCCACCGGAAGATGGCGGACGGGTACGAGGCCAACATGCGCCACTGCATGTACGGCAGCGACGCGGATCTGATGCTGCTCGGGCTCATGACCCACGAGCCGCACTTTACGCTGGTGAGAGAGACGGTGGTGTGGGGCAACCAGCACCGCAAGGTCGCGGCCAAGCAGATCGAGGAGCAGCAGTGGCAGCTGGTGCACTTGAGTCTGTTTCGGGAGTACTTGATGATGGAGATGAGGGTGCAGCCGCCGCTGGATGGCGAGCGCATGCTGGACGACTTTATTCTGTTGACGTTCTTGCTGGGAAATGACTTTATTCCACACAGTCCGACGCTGGAGATTAGTGAGGACGCGATCCCGTTGTTGCTGAAGACGTACAGAGAGCTGCTGGAGAACCACAAGGGGAGCTATCTCACGCTGAATGGTAAGATCACCAACGTCAAGCTGCTGCAGGAGCTGTTCCAGATTATCGGCAACCAAGAGGAGGAGATTCTGATCAACCGAGCCATGGAGGAGAAGCGACGCTCCGGACGACGCGGCGGACGGCAGCAGGCCAAGCAGCATGATGTTAATGAAGTGGAGGTCCAGAAAGCTATTATGGCCCTGCGTGACGACGACGACGATGACCTCCCGCCGCCGTTAGTTGATGATGAAGACGAAGACGAGGAGGAGGCAGCGGAGCGCTTGCTGCTTGAGGCACTCGATGGACGCGAGGCGGCCAGATTATCGCTCGAGATTGAGAAGGAGGACCGCGAAGTGCTGATGCTGGTTGGCAGCGAGAGTTTCCAGGATACGAAGTGGAATTACTACGAGCGGAAGTACGGTATCAAGCGAGGTAACGGTGACGCCGGTAATAAGGAACTGGAACAAGTGAAGAAGTCGTACATGGAGGCATTGGTGTGGTGCCTTGCCTACTACTTCCAGGGCCCGCAGTCGTGGGCGTGGTACTACCCCTACCATTACGCCCCCATGGTGTCAGATCTCACTGACATCGAGGACATGATTACGAATGTGAAGTTTGATGAAGACCCAGCGATTGCCGGACCGCTCCTGCCTTTTGAACAGCTCATGTCCAATCTGCCTGCCTCAAGCGCCAACCTTGTGCCTGAGCCTTACCGATTCCTCATGGTGTCGCCACTGTCGCCGATCAAGCACTTTTATCCAGAAACGTTTGCCATTGATATGGAAGGCAAGCGCAACGCGTGGGAAGGCGTGAATCTCTTGCCTTTCATCGATGTGGCACTGCTGAAACAAGCCATCGCGCAGTACTGCCCGGATTCGCGGCTTACGGAAGCCGAGAAACGGCGAAATAAGCTGCAACACCTGCCTATTCGCATTGTTCGAGACCTGGATGTGCTGGACACCTTGAAATCCACTCTTCCTGGAGTTGTTGGCTTTCCCGACGTGCTCTACTGTAGCACGCGCGTGGAAGACTATGATTTGCCGCCGATTCCTGGAGGCGAGTTCAAGAGTAAGTTGATGGACGGTGTTGTGCTCCCCCTGGCTGGTTTCCCGTCACTCTACACGGTTCCTCTTGAGAGCACGCGCATCGCAAGCGTCGGCTTGAACTGCTTTGGAATGAGTTCGCGCAAGTCCAGCCTAATTCTTCAACTGCCGCCCTCTGGAAAGTTGAACGACAAGAGTGACGCTACCCCGGAGGATATCAACCCTAGTGAGCTGCTGGGTACGACCGTCCTGGCAAACTGGCCGAATCTCCACGAGGTGCTTGTTGTGGGTATCAGCACACTGTCTGGAGAATACCGCTTGAAGCAGTCGTCTCGCAAGCACAACAACCACGGTCGCAAGAAGAACGAGGTGGTCTTTACACCGTATGGCTCAGACGAGAAGAGCGCGTGGGCGTATTATGCGCAGACAGAGGTGGTCAAGCTGCTGTCTGGTCGCGGAATTCCGGGCAGTGGCGGTATCGACCTCGGTAGGACCGGAATCACTACAGTCTTGCACGTGCTGCCTCTCCAAGGTATGGTGTCGAACCCGATTACAGGTGCCATCGAGAAGAAGTTCGGCGACACCGAAGCGTTCGTGCCCGCGCAGCTCTCGGTGCGCAACCGGAAGCTTCTTGACGCGCGATTTGAAGAATCAGGCGTGTTGCCTCTGAATGAGCGCTTCCCAGTGGATTCGAAGGCTCTCATCACGCGCGGCAAGTGGCTAGGCTGTACCGCTATCGTGCGTTCGCAGGACGAAGAGCAGCACACTGTGACAGTTCATGTGAACACCATTGACCAGGAGCCGCCGTTTGGCTACGTCATCGCACAGAAAATCTCGGACAAGTTCTTCCCGGGTTATTTGGTGGCGCAGAAGCTGGGGATCTCGGCCTCCACTTTGGGCCTGATCACCGGCAGCGTGATTATCAAGCCGAGCGGCACGGACATCGGCCTGAACATTCGCTACCGCAAGGAATTGCTGCTCCCTGGATACTGCCGTCTCGTCAGCCGTGACAACAGCAGCTCTAGCTCCAGCGACGATGTCAATGTCTGGCGGAAGGGTGATATTGTGAAGATTGTTGGAAGTAGCGGCAACGAGAGCGGTGATTCTAACTCCGGTCCATCCCAGGGTCGGAACGGAAGTTCGACCGCTTGGGAGTACACTGAGCGTGCTGTGCAGGTAATTGCAGGCTACCAGAAAGCATTCCCCGAAGTTGTTCGAAACCTGAGCCGTCTACCCTTCGCAACGACCTACCAAGGCAAGGACGTGTTTGGCATTGACGACGCCGAGCGTGTGGAGGTGAAGGCTGAGGCGGTTAAGCAGTGGATTGAGCAGCAGCGCTTGGGCTCGAGCGAGCACTCGAAGCATGTCCCCATCACCTCCGAGTACATTGCACTGAACGCTGTCCGAGCGATGGAAGCTGCCGGAACTTTGCGTGCCTCGGAGCGCGCCAAGGCTGTTGAAGAGCAGAGACGTGCACCTGTTGTGGCCACAATCAATGCCGCGGATCTGTTCCGTCCCAACCCATTGGTGAACCAGGACCTGACGGGACACGAAGTTTCGCAGCGTTCATCCAAGAACAAGGGGGCGCCAAACCTAGGTGACCGAGTGATTAATATCAGCGCACGCGGAGTTCCTTTCGGCCACCGTGGCACAGTGGTTGCCACCCACGTGAGTAGTCGGTGCGTGGAGGTGCTGTTTGACGAGAGCTTCACCGGTGGTGAGGCGTTGTACGGGACGACGAGCCTCGACCGCGGCAAGATCGTGGCCTGGAACAACCTGCTCTGCGTGTCGCTTCCGCCCGGCAGTAAGAACCAGAACCACAATAGCCGCTCGAAGCAGTCGCAGAGCGCAAGTGCGCGCCACACCAACGGTCCACCGCAGCAACGGACGAGGGATGGAGCTCCTGTTATCAGCACCAACACCCGCGTGCCGAAGAAAATCCTGAAGGCAAATGACAAGACTCCCGTGGCGCCTCCAGGCCCGCTGGTCCCACCACCAATTCCCAGTGCTGTGCCAGCGCCGCCGAACCCGGAGAAGATTCAAAAGCTGATTCAAAAGTGGAGCTACGACGGTGAAGTTGCCACTCAAAGCGATGAAAAGGCACCAGCCGCAGCTGCAGCCCCGAAGTCGAAGTCGAAGCCCAAGGCGCCGGCCGCAGCAGCACCGCCCTCACCAACTTCAGTGGCATCAACACCGGCGACCCCGGCATCGACTGAAGAACAAAAGTTGGCTCCCTCTGTCGCAGCACTGTTTTCGGCAGCCGAGGCTGCGGCCCCGGCACCTCCAGCGCCTGCACCTGTGGATCCGTTGATGGGGCTGTTCCCTCACATGTATGATCAGTCTTCGGGTGCTCCGTCGCTGCTGACGCCTCCACTGCCGGCTGGGGCTCCTACTCCGCAGTACGCGCCTCCTCCGCCGCCAGCTTTCTACGGAGCGCAGCCGCCGTTACCTGGACAACAGCCACAGCTCTTCCTCATGCCTGACGGCTCGTACGCGCCGATGTACGCGCCCCCGCCGCCCGGAGCGTACCCACCCCAGCAGCCGCAAGCTCCGATGCCGCCTAGCGAAGAAGAGTACCCTCCGCTTGGAGCTGCACCACCTGCCAAGAGCGAGAAGAAGCCGGTCGCTACAACTGAGACCACGTCTGAAGCTGTTAAAACCAAGCGTCACAGCCGAGGTGGCAAGGGCAAGAAGTCTGCCGCGACGAAGGAAGAAGGCAACACCCCATCAAGCGCCCACGGCGCTCAGAAGAAGTGGATTCCAAAGCAGAACGGAGACTCAAAGGCCAAGGGCCCCCAGCTGCTGCTCCCCTCGCAGGTCATGCGCCAGCAGAAGCCGCAGCAGTAACGCCACTTCATGTCATGAGGACCTGAGTCGCCTCGAGATTATGCACAAAGGTTGACTAGAGTATATGTTCAAAAATATACTACCAGACTAAGGCCCGCAAGCCCCTCCTCAGAACGGTGGATCCTTCACTATGATACGGACGGCCAGGCTCCCAAGGACGAGAACCACCCTCATCATCCTCATGCCTGCCTCAAAACCTCGAAAGCAATACCGACTATGATCCGAAGAGTTCGGTTGCCCCCACCATTTCCACATTGTAACTTCGACACAAAGGATGGCTGCAGTCGATGTCGCTTCCTCTCCTCTTCTTGCGCTGAATAGCCAGAGTCATGTGCTCGTTGGCAACGAATACGCGGAGGTGGCGACCATCGAGCAACTGCCACGCGGGACAGCACTTCACGCTGCACGCACAGCATTGATCAAGGAATCGGCAGCTCGAGCGGCTCCGTCGTCCAAGCAATCCACTGGGAATGGAATCGAGGTGAAGCTCGTCCACTGTGACTCGGCCTCAAGCAGTCTCAACAGCGGCAGTAACCCCGAGGACACGTCAGCGGCCGACTCTGCGGTCTCGGAAGAATCGTCTAACAACGAGCCACTGCGTAAAGCTCCAAGTGCTGCGGACCTCGCTAGACGTGCAGCTCGGCGTGTCAACGTCTGGAAAAAGTCTGAGCAAGAGCGTCGTGGTGAAGAAGAACGCGCTCGACAAGTCAAGCACGAGCAAGAGAAGAAGCGCCAGAACCACGTAGCCCACGCCAAGCAAAGACGCCGAGCGGAGATCTACGCTCTCAACGCGCTCTTGCGGCAACTCCAGCAGGAGAAAGTCGCAAAATATATCGCCGCCCAGAAAGAACTCCAGGAATTGCAACAGCAGCAGCAACAAGATCGCTGCAAGGACGGTGAAAACCTCACGGAAACGACAGCAGCTTTATCGCAAGTTCGAGCTGTTGGCGTTTAGCTCAGTCGTATCATAAAACTAATAAAAACTCGGCGCGATGTCAGAACTTTCATAAGCTTAGCTTATGACTTCTTCACGTAAGTAAATGCAAGGCCTGTACCCCGATTCAAACGAACGGTCCTCTTGCACCATTCAAGAGGTTTTTACTTGAATCCATTGTGCATATTTTGGAAGACTTGAAATGCGTGAACACAGCCGTAGTCCTTGGTGAACATCTCGATTGTGTCCGGGCTGAGTTCTCCCGAATCGATCGCTTTTTGCCACTGCAGAAACTTCTTCTCCATGTACTTGGGGTATACCCGCATTGCTTCGAACCTTTTGGTGACGTACATGCGTTTGTAGGTGCTGAAGAGCTTGAAAAAGTTGGGGGAACGTGCTTCATCGCTGTTCTCGATAGTTTCTCCAGAACGTACGTGGGACGCGGTCTTGGTCTGCTCATAAGCTGCTGCAGCGTTGCACGAAGCAAAAAGAATGGTTGACACTGCAACTAGGAGGTCGTAACTCCAACGCATGCGGTTCTTTAAACGTTGATGACGAACTTGGTGGGGATGATACGTTTGCAAGTGCGAGGTCCGCAGCCAACAAAAGCTACACAGTGCGATGAGTACGGTCGGTTGTCGCGCGGAACAATGTATCGTAAGCAGATTTCTTTATATATTGCAGTAGTACCTTAGCAGCAATAAAGCACTCGCACTCAGCTCTCCAGCTCTTACTTAGCATCAATACCAAATGCCAGCACGAACACCAACCCAAGTACGAAACCAAAAACGCCTACACCAGTGTAACAGGTATGAAATGTAGCCATGCCAGACGGTGATCGCGGCAGCGGTTGCAGAGCCCAAGCGGCAACGACAGCCCGAAGTGGCAACCATGCGGAGAACCGCACATGAAGGATCTTTGGGCTAGAGGGTCGCCGTGGGCAGCGGTCCGAGGAACGGATCGAAGCGAGTGGTGAGTAGCGCGCGACGGGTGGCGTGCTCCGTCGCCGCGCGAGCTAGCGAGCGCTCACTTGGGTTTGTACCCGGACGAGAGCAAGTGGGGGCACCCGCAGCCCTTGCAGCGGCGCACGGCGAGCTGACGAACGAGGACGAGCTGACGGACGTGGACGAGCTGGCGAACGACGAGAGCGAGTCGCAGAACGACAACGAGCTGCCCTGGTTGTACTGAGGTTAATAAATAGGGACGTAGGTCCCGGCTGCTTTGCAGTGGCCCACAGGTGTTGATGTTGAAGTGACAAACCCCTCATGGCAGCGGACCTTGGCGTGGACACAGCAAAAGCACTACGGGCGACAGCCCGCTGGCGAGCTGGCGTTAGCAGACTCGTTACATGGTGGTCATACAGGGGCCTGAGTTCTGAGGGAACAGTGCTCTGCGCCCGGTTGCGACGAAGAAGGCTTCAGCCTGAGCTTGGAGTCGAGATTGGATTGAAGCTGCACGGTCTGTTTGATGGACGGAGTTGCAGGGTTTTCGCTATGGGCGTGGGGTACATGGCTCGGACAGAGCCCCATGAGCACGAACGAGTCGGCGGTGACGGAGATGGTCGCGTTGGAAGTCGCCGTGACGGCATTGAGGACGACGTCAGTGCCGGTGGGACACACCTACTGCGTGATGGAGGTGGAAGCAGGAGTCGGAGCAGCTTCGGTGACGATTTGGGTGAATTTCGAGACGATGAGCTTAATTAGAAGGTTGGAAGAAGTCAAGGGGGTGTTATGGCCGATGTCTGTCGACTACAGTGCGCGAAGAACGTGACGAGATCGTGGGAGGTGAGTGGACGAGGTACAATGAGTGTTCTTCAGCCTGCAACAGGCTCAGAACTACGAACAATGTGCGTTCTACGAGCGTAGCTGTGAGTGGGCATGATGGAGGTGGTGAACGCTTACATCTGCAACAGACCAGAACTGTACGACGTGCGCATACGAGATGTTCGCGGAGTATGGGGGTGAGTGGAAAACGAGTGACTTCTGATAACCTGATAGTTTGGCGGAATTGTTGGGGTTGACCAGTACGGATCCGGGATTGAAGTGCGAGACGTGCATATGCGCGAGGAACACTGAGTGCGGAGTAGCGGTCGCGTAGGTGACGAGCGGCTTTCCTCCTGGCGCCGGGATTCTGTGGAGTAGTGGGGATTCAAGGATTGAGCTGGAAGACGTGCTGAATGTGCGAGGACAGCGAGTGCGGTGTAGCGGTTGCGTAGGAGACGAGCAACTTTCCTGCTAGCGCCTCGGAGTATACGACGTGTGTTAAGGGATTGAGCCTGAAGACGTGCTGAATGTGCGAGGACGGCGAGTGCGGTGTAGCGGTTGCGTAGGAGACGAGAAACTTTCCTGCTAGCGCCTCAGGATGACGTTGGAACCGGTGGACTTTTCGGACGATATGAAGCTGGCGAAGGTGGGGCGAATCTCAAAGCTGGGGCAAGCTGCCGCGGTTTGAAGTGATAAAGATGGTTGCGGTGGAGGGTCGACGGCCAATTACCGACGAAAGGCTCTGAAATGGGGATTTAGCCAAGTACAATGATCTCAATGCAGTGTGGCGAATGAATGATGTAGTTGCTGACGAGGTTGCGGAACTGCGAGGAAAGCGCAGCGTCGGAAGTGAGAGCGGAGGGAAAACAGTGGGTTCCCGAGTTTGCTGTGAGCTGCTTGTCAGGGTAGGCGCCTGAGGCGTACGCCCGTGTGGCTTAGTGAGCGTCGACCGGTCTCCTGAGGCGTGGAGGTGCTTCGCGTAGCATCCGTGGATTAGTTGGTGGTGAACGTATGGGCGACGAGTTGATGGCGGCGAGTAAATGCAAAGCGTTGAGCGAGAAGCGAGCTGGGGGCACAAGTTGATGCGTGTCCGCAGTACCTTGCCTCGATGACGAGTGAGGACGCAGGGCCGATGACGAAGGTGAATGTCGAGAGCGTCGAGGCAGAGTCGGGAAGTCTTGCAGACCAAAACGGTGAAGAGGGCGTTCGACGAGCTGCCTAAATCGTGCTACAAGCTGAAGAAGGCGCGCCGTAAGCAACAGTAGCTGCTGAGCAAACAGGGGGAGCTGCTCAGCGAGTGTGCGGTCTTCTTCAAGCTGAAGACATGTCGTAAGAAGTGTCGGTGCGTTGCGAGTACGTGGCTTTGAAGGAAGAAGTCGGGCGTCGACGTAAGATGAGCGTCTTGTGGTGCGTTGCGATGTCACGGAGACGGAGTTTATGCTGGAGAAGGCGAGCATGCAGGCGACGTCATCAAAGCAGAAGAAGGCGAGATCGATGGCTGCGAGGGTGATGCCGATGACGAGTGCGCGGACACACTGGTGGCCATGAGGGTGGCGAAGTGCGAGATGAAGGCCGGTTGCAGCGCGCTGTGCGCAAGGGTGTATGCTGAGCGGGTAAGACCACAGAATCGACCAACATATATGAGCTGAAGTACGGGTCGTGGAAGACCCTTGTGTGAAGAAGGCGTGTAACAGGTATGAAATGTAGCCATGCCAGACGGTGATCGCGGCAGCTCTACTGTACTCGGCTCAGCGGGCACTGTTCTACGTATCAGAGCGTCACTCGGCCGAGGTTGTAGAGACTAATTTAATTCAGTAGGTTTGCTGAGAGCATGGTTGAAGTGAACACGGTTGCTCATGGTGTTCACTTCACTTTGCACCCGACGGTGGTGACGTACCTGGTGTCGGAGGAGCTCCGAAGGCCGACGCGGCCACCGAGCTGACGCCTCTGGTCGGCGCGGCGGCGTCCGGCGGCTCGCGCTCCAACTTTGGCTCCGGCTCGGGCCGCTGCTGTCGCCCAGCTACGCGGCGTCGTCGCCGTCGTCCTCGGCCTTCTCGCCCTTCGCCATCCGCCCAGCGAGGAGCCCGAGCCCAAGGCGGCAAGTCCGCCCCGCCCCGGCAACTTAGCGACGCTCTTGTCGCAGCATGAGGACGAGCCCCAGAGCGACGCAGAAGAGGACGGAGAAGAAGAAGACGCCACTGAGGGCCAATACGCCTACTTCGCGTCGCCCGCCAAGGTGCTGGGCTCGGCCTGCGTCAAGGGAGGCTTCTTCCTGGCCCAGAGCGCCGTGGAGATGGCCATCAGTAAAGCAACTCAAGCGGCCGAGCGGCAGGAGGAGAAGAGGGCCGAGAGGGAGCTGGCGGACGTGGTGCGGCGCCGGGTGACCGACAGCGTCTTCCGCCTGCTGACGGTGCACGAGGCACGCCATCAGATGAACGCGCTGCACCTCGCAGTGCTCTACGAGCACCCGACGGTGGTGACGTACCTGGTGTCGGAGGCCAAGAAGTACTTCCCCGAGGATAAGGAGGCGTTGGTGAAGATGAGGAGCGCTGACAAGAAGAGCTGCGCGGACGCCAGAATGGCCATGGGACGCCTGAATGCGCCTCGGATAAGGAGGAGATCGATGACGAGACCAACAGCAACGCCAGTACTGAGACCCAGGAGCAGGAACAGGAACAGGAATTGGCGTGTGGCACGCTGCAGGACTTTCTAGACAGTCGCTGTGGAGAGTCCAAGCACCGCGCCACGGCGCTCATGTTGTGTACGTCTGTGGCGTGTGCCACCACGTTGATCGATAGTGGCGCGTCGCTGGATGCGATGAACTCGTCTGGGTTGACGGCGATGCATTACGCGGCGAGCACGGGGAATGCAGCGTTCGTGAGTTTATTGGTGTATCGTGGAGCGACCAAACGGACAGCCGCGGGGCGACGGCCTTGCACTGGGCCGTGTTTGAAGGGTTCCAATACACGGCGATGCTGTTGGTGGGCTACGGGGCGAACCAGAAGATCTGCGACTCGGAGAAGCAGACGCCGCTAATGATCGCCAGCGCTCTTGGAGATGCGTTCTTGGCCAAGCAACTGGTGGTGGAAGGAGCGCCCGTGAAAGCCAAGGACAAGCACGGTAGAACGGCGATGGACATTGCACGGCAAGGCACACACTTCGACACAGCAAGTGCATTGAAAGCAGGTTCGTCGGATCGACTGCTGGCCTTCGCGTAAGGGTGCCTCTGTCGCTTTCTTTTTCGGTATGGTGCTTACCACGACTACATTATCGCTGATTTTTGCGGTACCATGCCTGCCACCCCAGACTCCTGCCCAGACTGTACGGTACCAGACGATGGGGCTGGCGTTTTTGACTTTCACGTGTATCATGTACGTGTAGTTTGCATCAAGGACCCGGGGTACGTACCGCGCTCCACGCGCCCCGCCTACGAATTGCTGGCTGCGGAGGATAACGCTGTACCGTGCCCGACCTGTGTCACGCGCAAGCCTCAGCGATCCAAACACTGCTCAGCCTGCAGACGCTGCGTGTATCGCTTCGACCACCATTGCCCGTGGATAAATAACTGTGTGGGGATCGGGAACCACCGCAGCTTCCTCAGTCTTCCTCGTCACCTTGTCAAGCTTCTGCTTCACGATCGGTGCTCTGTCACTGAGTATTTTGCTGGACCCTGTGTCCTTGCACCCGTCCGCCCCCAGTGTTGGTGACGGCCCTGGAGACACGGCGCCGTGGCCTTGGCGGTGGTTGCAACCCCCTGAATGAGCGCTCACTGGAGAAGCTCCCGCTCACTCGGAATCGACGCTGATGCTGCACGGTATCCACGCCACTCTCCTGCTGTGCGCCGTCGTGTTCGGCATGCCGACAGCCACGCTACTGGCGATTCAGCTGCGCAACGTGAGAAGTGTTCAACAAGGACAAGTACCCGTATCTGAAGACGCCGATGGACGAGTTTTACAGGGCTGTGCCCACAACTTTGCTTGTGAGTGATTTTCAGCCATTCGTTACAATATCACGGAACAGTCTCAGTTTGGAAGATACGGTGCCGGGTTTAACCATCAGCGCTTCGAAAATAATCAGGGTCTATAGCCCTATGGTACTTTCCCATCAAGAGGCTAAGCAAATGCTCCCGGATGCGTAAGTACAGTCGAAGCCTACCTGCACAACTTCGGCATGAACCAGCTTCATTCACATCCAGCTGGAGAGTAGAGTCGCACGACCTGGGAGTTAAGTCCAAAGGCAACGAGGAGGATCAACGGGTATTAGCATGTGAATATTAGGGCTTAATTAACCGATCAAGGTCTTTGTTACGACTCTTTGAGTGCTAAATTACTCGGAAAAGGCTGCTTCTACCCTGGCCAGCTCGTCCGGAGCTGGACGTCGTTTGTACACACGGCGGGACACCTTGTAATAGGCGTCTCCATATTGGTAGACCTGGAGCGCCTCAGCAAGTTTGGGATCAAGATGGATAAAATACCGGATACGCGCTTATACTTACTCCATCAGGGTCCAGAGGTCGACTTCGTCATATTTTCATATTTAGAGGCAGCATTCGTTTTGATGATCGGGCCGCCCCGCTCGAGTATTATTTCTGATGCTGAATGCTTTTCTGAATCAAACAACTGTGTGGCTCACCTATTTTTATTCCACCATTAGCCATTGGATGAAACGTGGGCTAGTTCAGCACTTTTGACCAGTCACATTACTGTTTCTTGAAAAAGCGCAATTGGTTGAAAGTCTACCAGAATCTGCCGGCTCGGCTCGAGGAAAGATGGTGAAGCTCTTCTGTGCGATCGCTGCAGCGCGTTCGAGGTGGATATCGACGAGGGTGCGTCGGTTTCCGCGTTGAAGAAGGCGATCCAGTCGGAGAAGCCGAACAAGTTGAAGGACATCGATGCAGGTGACCTGCAGCTCTTCCTGGCGAAGACGGCGGACGGCGCGTGGCTGTCAGACGAAAGCGATGCTGCGCTGGAGCTGGAGGAAGGGAAGAGGCACGCAGTCATTCAAACGTTGATTAATGGAGAGCCGATGAAAGCCACGAAGACTCTCCAGTACTGGTTGTTTGGCAAGACCAAGATGCTTCCACCCTCTACCGATCAGATCCACGTGCTGGTGGTGGTTACGACCGAAGATGCGGTTGTGCCGGCGTTATCGCAACCATCGTTCTTTTGGAAGGAGGCAAAGTCGTTGGTCGCAACGAATCTGAAGCGGCAGATGACAGAACACAACAGTTCAGAAGGCAACAGTGCAGTTGCCGAGTGGGAGCTCGTGGATAGCGACTGCCCGACGCCATCTCTTGACGCAGAGAAGAGGCTAGTCCACATTCCTTGGAAGCTACTGAAGATTTCAGGAACGACCATCCTTAAAGAAGGCCACGACCTACAGCTGTACTGCCGTCCGGAAACTGTGGATGAATGACGCAAAAGCCAACGCAACGCCGTTGACACCTACGCACAGGTGATCATTCGCGGGGCACCTGGAACAGGCAAGACATGCGCAGCTTTCGCCTTCGCGTTTGGTACCGTAGATCGCGATTTGTGGGACATCGTGTGGATCCACTTCGATCGAGCAGTGAGCAGGTTCCTCTGTTATTTGGTGAAGGGTAAGAAATTGTGGGCAGCAGAAGCTTGGAACGATCGTGACCTCAACAACTTGCTGTTTTCATCGAAGTTACAGGAGAAAAGGGCGATTGTATTTTACGACGGATACAACAAAAGTTACTTGGCGTGTGACTCGGTATTGCTTGAGTGCCGGAAGTGGTATTCTCGGAATGATCTCTCTCGGCGCCTTGTGATAGTGACGTCGATGGTCTTGCTGACCGGCCGGAAACTTACCAACCCATTAAGCCTCACGTTGAGATACCTGGCGAGAAGGTCAATCCCTGGCTTGATGCTTTGGATAAACTGGCCACTCCAGCCGAACACAATGTGCCTGACCAAGTGCTACTCGACAGGGAGATGCGTGATGTGGAAGGTCATTCTGAAGACAAAGGCTGCGCTATTCCAGAAGGTATGGAGGCAGACGCAGCAACGGAGGTGCTCAATTTTCACGTGTTCGAGTTGCTGTCGTGAACACTTGATGAGTACCGCACTGCCGTAAACGAAAACATCTTTTTCGACAGTGTTGAACACGCCCTGCGTGATGGGGCCAAGGCGATTGGAGCGGCTAACACCCCGTATGAAGATCGAGTGGCGTTGGTGGAGAAAAAGTATTACGTCGCCGGCGGCAGAGCGCGAATGATGTTCGCTGTCAAGACGAGCAGGGCCATGGCCTCACTTGACAGAGCCCTTATGGCCGTGGGCTCGCTAAAATCCTTCGCTGAATTTGATACCGGGGTGCTGTCTGGCGTACAGTTAATCGACTTCTGGCTCTGTACCGTGGCGGGATGGACAAGACTCAACAGCGAATTGTAAGCTCGTACGCTGTTCGAGAACTCAGTATCAAACTCGGCCCTGACAAATTTCTGGAAGCAGTGAGCTTACTTCAGATGAACCCGTCAATGGATGGATTCATCTTTGAGGGATGGGTCATCGGGTGTCTGGCACATGGTCCGCTGACACTCAAGCAATTGGCTAGCGGGGGAAACGTTGAGTGGAAACAATATCCTCTGGTTCACTTCGACATCACGCAGCTGCAGCTGAAACTGCAAGCCTTATCCACGAAACAGTGGCTTGTGCCGTTTAAGTGGAACCAAAGTGGCTACGGCATCGTCTTCTTGGACAAGACGAGGGGTGTCGTTCGCTTTGTCCAGGTGACAAGAGCATCCAAGCACAGTTTCGCCGCCAAGGCATTCTGTGACTTCCTCAATATCTTGCACGCGTGCAAGTGGATGGAGATTCTCTCGGTAGAGCTCTGCTATGTGGTACCGCGCAAGACTGATGAACCCAAGCCCAAGCCATTCATTTCGAAAGAAGAGCTTTATCGCCAGGTCATCGCGGTGGTTTTCCTGCAGGGTGAGTACCGCCCTTTCGAGGAAAAGAAGTTGACACGAAAGACGCTTGAGACGACAGAAGGAACGCCTATCACGTGCTCTGTTGACACTTTGGAAGCCGCGTATGATGCCATTTCTTGTCACGACATGGAGCTACAGAGGCAGGAAATGCATGGGTGAGAGGAATAAGCGAGCTGGAATTCACGACTGGTAGGCTTCTGTTTCAGCTACGATGGTACGAGGTTGCGCAGTAAGGCGTCAATCGTTGAAGCGGTGCAGAACTGAATATCCAAGTTACAGCTTCAAACATGCATCCTGCATTTGTTTTTTTGCCTACTTTTGGCAAGTTTGCTTATTGCTATTGGTTGCCTATTGCAAGCGCTCCCACATTCAGTACTGTACAGTAGTTCATCCGCTACATCTGGATGCGAATTTTGATCCCACCGAACCTTGCTCCTCGTATTTCTCGACAAACAAATTATTAACAACAAGCTGCAAAATGGTTCGATGTTTGTTTGCCAAGCCTTCCTGGTGAGCCAGCTTACTGTCATATTATACGTAACGTTACTGTGGGGTTTCTTCACGGATCCGCGTGTGGTTCGCAGGCACGATGGTCTCGCGTCTTCTTGTGCTTGGTCGTCAACCCTTGGGTGTAAGTGCTGCATACTTTACCGAGACCAGTCTTGATCCTGATCTCACTGATTATGTGTGTGCAACCCTGTAGGTACAGCGGGACGGCCACGCCGACGAGGAGGGTAGCGTCGGCTTCTAGCAAGCGTGTCAAGCGTAAATGGAACGGATGGCGGTGAAGCGCGACAGCTTTTTCGCCACGCTGCTTCTTGAGAATGCTAAGCACGACTAATAATTCTCTGTCAGTAGATAAATTGCCATACTGCACATTTCCTTCCTTACCTGCGAACCTTTTCGGACGCAGCTGTTCTCTTTCTCTTCCCTGTCTGCGCAAGCCGTGCATGGCGCGTTGCTACTGCAGACAACGCAGCTACAGGCCGGAAAAGCGCGAACCGAGAGGAGGGCCACCGGAAGCGCGATCGACCGACAGTGCGTTCGATGCATGTTGACACGAGCTCTCCTGTCAAAGTGGCTATGGAGGACAACTTCAGACCTCAATGCAAAGAAGCACAGGACCATAAATGCCATAAATCCAGAGCTCACCCACCTGTGGAGCGAGATCAGCAAGCTCTACAGTAATGCCGGGGGTAAGTTACTACCGCATCGCCAAAGTCATAGTTCCTACCTGATACCGGTATACAAGGGGGGGTTGTGGTTATAAGGGACCCTTCTGTTGGGAAAGTGTTACATAAACATGCAACACGTTTTGACCTGATTGGTTAACATGATTTTTATTGGGGGGGGGGGGGGGGGCAACACCAACAGAAAGGACGGGCATCTCGCAACAAAAATATTGGATTTCTGAAAAGCCAGAAATGGCGTGGGCGCTGGGAACGAGAGCGAATGAGCGCATCGAGCGCGGTAAACACGTGGAACAGTAGCGGGGCGGCCTGTATGGGCTTCTGCGCAAGTGCTTGTGGTTATTTATGAACGGCGTTACGGCAACGTGATTACGACAAGACGACAGCTCTTACGGCACCATAGCAAGGGTTTTCCACCTAGCAAACACTGCACCAAGCAACGTAGAGGCTGTATGGTATGGTGCTTGCTATGTAAAACTGGGTTTGCGGTAATCTATCTGCGATTAATTACGGGAACTGCAAAAGTTACCGAGCGCACTCCAGAATATCACAGTAGACATCTAGAATCAAAGCGGCTGTTGGTGCACACTAAGCGTGAAAGAAGATGGAACCAGGCGACCTTAACAGCGATGCTCTGCCGGCCTCACCGCTACCGCCCACGACCGACGCAGGCACGCGTCTATCGCGAGATCACAGGGCGAAGGTTTGCAAGGGTCTGTTGATGTCTAGGCTCAAGGCAATTGAGGCTATGGAAGACAGACTGGACAAGATCGCCAAGTACTTGCTCAAGCTTTTAAACGAGCGCGACGAGCTGGCTACAATGCTCGCCAACGAGAAGGAGGAAGCTGTCCGTCTCGCAACGGTGCTTGGGGTGTCTGTGCGTGAAACCGGCTACGTGGTGTCGTACGGCGTAATGCTGCAACAGTGTTTCGAGGCTCTACTCGAGCAAGACTAGACCAATACTTCGCGCGTGTTGTGAACACGAAGAAAACATCAAGCCGATAACAAATAAAACTGCATTGAGGTCACAATTGAGCTATATTCAAGTCTTTACGGTTGCCATCAACTCGAGGTCGGTTGCATATACGGTCTTGGCTACTTGGTTCGCTATCGTACTCACTTCAGGTTGCATAAGTACCATCCACATAATACGTAGTCGCATGCCGGCAACGTCATCGGCTGAAACTGTGGCCTTGGTAAATCCTTCAGCATGCAATACACCTGGGCTATCACCATAACACCGCACGACATTCCATCGGGCTGTCTAGGTGCATCCAGCCACACACCATTCTACAAGAGGATATTCCACTCCAATCATTGTCTTCTCGCGCCAGCCCAGTAGAAATGGCGCTACCGTCTCTTCGTAGGTATCTTCGATAGTCGCTCGATATTGCGGATCACACAGCGGCTCGTAGAAGTAGGGTGTGATTGACGGTGGTTCAGCTTGGTAGGTGATACTGACAATGATGACACCCCATGTATGTTGCTCAGATAAACTGGCAAAACAACATAATGCATGCTCCAAATGCGGGTCTGGGGCGGGTCAGGGCAGCAACACGTAGCTGCATACGTATCCAACGCGTAGCAATCTCCGAGCGCGTCACAGATACATATGACAGCGAAATCAATGATCATATCAGACAGCATCTCCTTGCGAGCAAGCATCCCAACCAATCTGTCCAGCTTTACAGTGCCTGCACCGCTTGCCAATCGGAACGTGGAGCTCAGAGAAGCTCCTTCGAGCTGCTCCAGCACTTCGTTTGCCAGGGCCGCGTGCTTGGCCCCTGTGGGGTCATCTGTGAGCTCGTCCGAGTCCGTTTCCACGTCGAAAAGCTCAGGATTGACCGTCATTGCGTCCCATTTAGTCGACAGTAGCCGCCAATGCACATCCTCCTTCCACGCATCAAGCTTGCGGACAACGTTGTAAAACTCGCTCATCCACTCCAATCATTGTCTTCTCGCGACAGCCCAGTAGAAATGGCGCTACCGTCTCTTCGTAGGTATCTTCGATAGTCGCTCGATATTGCGGATCACACAGCGGCTCGTAGAAGTAGGGTGTGATTGACGGTGGTTCAGCTTGGTAGGTGATACTGACAATGATGACACCCCATGTATGTTGCTCAGATAAACTGGCAAAACAACATAATGCATGCTCCAAATGCGGGTCTGGGGCGGGTCAGGGCAGCAACACGTAGCTGCATACGTATCCAACGCGTAGCAATCTCCGAGCGCGTCACAGATACATATGACAGTGAAATCAATGATCATATCAGACAGCATCTCCTTGCGAGCAAGCATCCCAACCAATCTGTCCAGCTTTACAGTGCCTGCACCGCTTGCCAATCGGAACGTGGAGCTCAGAGAAGCTCCTTCGAGCTGCTCCAGCACTTCGTTTGCCAGGGCCGCGTGCTTGGCCCCTGTGGGGTCATCTGTGAGCTCGTCCGAGTCCGTTTCCACGTCGAAAAGCTCAGGATTGACCGTCATTGCGTCCCATTTAGTCGACAGTAGCCGCCAATGCACATCCTCCTTCCACGCATCAAGCTTGCGGACAACGTTGTAAAACTCGCTCATCCACTCCAATCATTGTCTTCTCGCGCCAGCCCAGTAGAAATGGCGCTACCGTCTCTTCGTAGGTATCTTCGATAGTCGCTCGATATTGCGGATCACACAGCGGCTCGTAGAAGTAGGGTGTGATTGACGGTGGTTCAGCTTGGTAGGTGATACTGACAATGATGACACCCCATGTATGTTGCTCAGATAAACTGGCAAAACAACATAATGCATGCTCCAAATGCGGGTCTGGGGCGGGTCAGGGCAGCAACACGTAGCTGCATACGTATCCAACGCGTAGCAATCTCCGAGCGCGTCACAGATACATATGACAGCGAAATCAATGATCATATCAGACAGCATCTCCTTGCGAGCAAGCATCCCAACCAATCTGTCCAGCTTTACAGTGCCTGCACCGCTTGCCAATCGGAACGTGGAGCTCAGAGAAGCTCCTTCGAGCTGCTCCAGCACTTCGTTTGCCAGGGCCGCGTGCTTGGCCCCTGTGGGGTCATCTGTGAGCTCGTCCGAGTCCGTTTCCACGTCGAAAAGCTCAGGATTGACCGTCATTGCGTCCCATTTAGTCGACAGTAGCCGCCAATGCACATCCTCCTTCCACGCATCAAGCTTGCGGACAACGTTGTAAAACTCGCTCATCCACTCCAATCATTGTCTTCTCGCGCCAGCCCAGTAGAAATGGCGCTACCGTCTCTTCGTAGGTATCTTCGATAGTCGCTCGATATTGCGGATCACACAGCGGCTCGTAGAAGTAGGGTGTGATTGACGGTGGTTCAGCTTGGTAGGTGATACTGACAATGATGACACCCCATGTATGTTGCTCAGATAAACTGGCAAAACAACATAATGCATGCTCCAAATGCGGGTCTGGGGCGGGTCAGGGCAGCAACACGTAGCTGCATACGTATCCAACGCGTAGCAATCTCCGAGCGCGTCACAGATACATATGACAGCGAAATCAATGATCATATCAGACAGCATCTCCTTGCGAGCAAGCATCCCAACCAATCTGTCCAGCTTTACAGTGCCTGCACCGCTTGCCAATCGGAACGTGGAGCTCAGAGAAGCTCCTTCGAGCTGCTCCAGCACTTCGTTTGCCAGGGCCGCGTGCTTGGCCCCTGTGGGGTCATCTGTGAGCTCGTCCGAGTCCGTTTCCACGTCGAAAAGCTCAGGATTGACCGTCATTGCGTCCCATTTAGTCGACAGTAGCCGCCAATGCACATCCTCCTTCCACGCATCAAGCTTGCGGACAACGTTGTAAAACTCGCTCATCCACTCCAATCATTGTCTTCTCGCGACAGCCCAGTAGAAATGGCGCTACCGTCTCTTCGTAGGTATCTTCGATAGTCGCTCGATATTGCGGATCACACAGCGGCTCGTAGAAGTAGGGTGTGATTGACGGTGGTTCAGCTTGGTAGGTGATACTGACAATGATGACACCCCATGTATGTTGCTCAGATAAACTGGCAAAACAACATAATGCATGCTCCAAATGCGGGTCTGGGGCGGGTCAGGGCAGCAACACGTAGCTGCATACGTATCCAACGCGTAGCAATCTCCGAGCGCGTCACAGATACATATGACAGCGAAATCAATGATCATATCAGACAGCATCTCCTTGCGAGCAAGCATCCCAACCAATCTGTCCAGCTTTACAGTGCCTGCACCGCTTGCCAATCGGAACGTGGAGCTCAGAGAAGCTCCTTCGAGCTGCTCCAGCACTTCGTTTGCCAGGGCCGCGTGCTTGGCCCCTGTGGGGTCATCTGTGAGCTCGTCCGAGTCCGTTTCCACGTCGAAAAGCTCAGGATTGACCGTCATTGCGTCCCATTTAGTCGACAGTAGCCGCCAATGCACATCCTCCTTCCACGCATCAAGCTTGGGGACAACGTTGTAAAACTCGCTCATCCACTCCAATCATTGTCTTCTCGCGCCAGCCCAGTAGAAATGGCGCTACCGTCTCTTCGTAGGTATCTTCGATAGTCGCTCGATATTGCGGATCACACAGCGGCTCGTAGAAGTAGGGTGTGATTGACGGTGGTTCAGCTTGGTAGGTGATACTGACAATGATGACACCCCATGTATGTTGCTCAGATAAACTGGCAAAACAACATAATGCATGCTCCAAATGCGGGTCTGGGGCGGGTCAGGGCAGCAACACGTAGCTGCATACGTATCCAACGCGTAGCAATCTCCGAGC